CCCTTTGCTTCGAACACTGTTCCCACTCCTGCACTGTGTGTGGCCTCTCAACCTCAGGTCTCAGCTGAAATGTTTCTTCCCCAGAGAAGCCTCACTTTACCTGAACAGGAACCCCCATCTACTCCGCCCGTTATTCTGCAGGTTTCTTTCATCACACTCATCACAAATTGATATTGTTCATTTGTGGTTTCCTTGGCGTTTGTTTATGAGCTCTATAAGGACAAGAGGACAGGGCATGTAGTAGGAGCTAAGTTAACTTCTGTTGCACAGACAGATGGTTGGATGGCCTGAGAGTTAGAGTGAAAGGCCCTTGCAGACCTACTAAGTGCCCTCCAGCAGGTTCCGGCCCTCTGTTCAGTGAGGGTGAGATATGTGGCCTCTCAGGGCCCTGCTGATCTGGTGATCTTTGAGCCATCTGTGTGTACCAGAAGGACACACATCAGTTCCCTGTGGTTCCTGGGGCACTGAGACAGAAGCCAACAAGGAGGCCAGGGAGAGGCTGAGTGGGTAGGCCTCAGTGGCTACAGTATGGTCCAGTAAGAGGAGTCCTAGGAACCGAGGGTGGAAATGTGGCCTGAGGTCCCCACTGGTTCCTCTGCTCACTCGGGTGACCACTATGCTGAGTGTCTAGGAGGTGGGGGGCAGATCCCACTCTGCCTCTTGCCTCCTCAGCCACAGGCACAAGGATCTGCTTGCTCTGTTCAGGGTGTGCATGGGTGGAAGGACGTTGATCTTGGGGTCAGGAGTCCTGCATTCCAGTCGTCCCCCCAACCCCTGTGAAACTCAGTTAAGTTCCCTCCGCTCTCTGGGCCTTAGTTTCGATGTTCGTACAAGGGACATACTCTTAGGGCCCTTTTGGCCCTGACATCCAAGATGACAGTGCTGATGCCTGGGACGTATGTGCTGCTTACACACACACACACACACACACACACACACACACACATCCTACCCCCCCTCGCCATCGCTCGGGGAGCTTGGGAGGAGGGCAGCTCCGGGAGCGTGGGAGAGCCAGATGTGGTGGCCGCACCGCCGGCCCTGCCTGAGTGCTGAGCAGGCCTACTGGGAATTCTCCCACTCAGACTCCCTTTCCGGCCCCCTCCCCCCACCCCCCTGCAGCTTCCGGCTCTGACAAGTGTGGGTGAGGGTCTTAGGAGGGGTTTTCTGTTCAGCCTGGTTCCCTCCTTCAGGGAAGACCATGGGCCTAAAAGTCTAGACAAAAGCCTCGGTTCCAGTCCCAGTCTGTGGTTGACACACCACAAGGCCTTGCACAATTTGCTTCCATCTCTGGCCTCAGTCATCCCATCTGTAAAATGAGCAGGTTGGATGAGCTTCCCTCCAGTCCTGATGGTGGACTTCTACTGAGAGTCTTTTGAGGAGCTTTCTTGTTCTGCTCTAGGGCTTGTGCAGAATACCAGTGTGCAGCAGTTATTCAGGCCTAAACACAGCTCTATGGGAATGCACATGTCCCCATTTTACGGTTGAAGGTACTGAGGCTCAGAGAGTTCAGATAATGTAATTGTTCAGGGTCACACAGCTAGCAAGTGGCAGAGCTGGGTTGGAACCGCTGACCTCAGAGCTCAGGCTCTTAACCCTTGAGCATGCCACCGTGCTGTGGGGAGGAGAAGTGCTAAACCCCAAGGCCCAGAGCCCCGCTCTCTCACTGCACCCATCCCAGGCCTCGGGCGGGGCTCCCCTCACTCCACGCTCTGCCCACCCACTCTCAGGCCAGTCTTCCCCAAGACAGGATTGTCCGAGGCAAGACTAGGCTCCTCGTATTGGGGTAGGTAGGAGGTGCTCATGGCTTGTCCTGCCCGTCGCAGGGTTGGTGGTCACCCCAGCATGATGGTGCTGCACTGTCCATGTGCCCTGTCCACTGTCCACTCTTTAAGAATCCACAAGGGGAAACTGAGGGCCAGAGAAGGGAGAGCTCAGCCCAGGGCTACACAGTGATGGAATGCTGCTGGGATGAGGGAAACTCAGTATCTCAATAACAACATTCCAGGCACTGTTCTAAGCCCTTGGAGTACATTGCACATCTCAACAGTCTTATGAATCAGTCCTTCAATTACCTCCTCTTTCCAGGAGGAGATGGAGGTTCAGGACTATGACTTGCACGAGATCACACAGCTTGAAACTGGAGAAGCTGGGATGTGAACCCAGCTCTATCTCTGCTCCGGATCCTGCCCTCTCAATCATGACACTTCTGCCTTCATTGTCCAGCCCAGGGTGAATGCCCTGTAGTGCTCTGTGTAGCTCTGCATTGCCCACCCACATCTCACTCGAGAGGAAGAGTAGCAGCCTTGGTGCCCACCAAGGGTTAACGGTGGTAGGGGCTAAGTGATTCCAGATGGGCCAGTGGATGGCTGAGCTGGCCGGAAACTGGCGGCCGCCAGCTTCCCAGGGGAGCCACCACCAACTGCCCCCTCCCCTCTATGCTGCATCTCTGGCCCCCAGCTATACCCCTGCCCTGGGGCCCGCCAGCCTCCTCTCCCTAGTCACAGTCCAGCTCAAGGGAAATTGTAGACAGAGCATCCCAAGGACCTTTCAGCATAATAAGTCCACCCCTGTTAGGCACAGATGGAGAAACTGAGACTCAGGCAGGACAAGGGACCAAACGAAGGTCTCCCATCATGTCTGTGGCTAGGTCTCCTGAATCCCAGACTTGCTTCTTTGGAGACTAGAGGATTGAAATGCCTTCTTGCTTCCCCTGAGCTGTCCTGGTAGCAGTAGTTGAGCCAAGCAACAGGCTTCAGAGCTGGATGGCCAAGGCAAATATTAGGAGGAGAGTTGTAAATTTCTTTCTTTCTTTTTTTTTTTTTTTTTTTTTTTTTTTTGTGACCGGTAAGGGGATCGCAACCCTCGCCTTGGGGTTGTCCGCACTGCACTCAGCCAGTGAGCGCACCGGCCATCTCTATATAGGATCCAAACCCGCAGCCACAACGCCCCCAGCACCGCTGCACTCCCAGCGCCACACTCTCTCGAGTGAGCCACGGGGTTGGCCCGAGAGTTGTAAATTTCTGATGGAGTCTTTGGGCACAAGAAATTCTTGTGTGGGCCTGATCTTGAGGTCTGCAGGATCTCCTCACATTCCCCTATGACCTGGCTGCCACCAAGCCCTGGGCCAGGCCCCCTCTCTTGGGAGATTCTCATGGCCCCTACCCTGTGGCTTGGAGCCAATCTGAGAGCCCTTCTCCATTCATGAAGATGCTTTGCTGGGCAATCCCTTTTGGGACAAGACCAAGAAATGATTGCAAGATACATTACTGGGGTTGGCATGCAGTCTCAACTGAAGCCAAAACCCCTGCTCTAGGAACAGGGGCCAGGGTGGGACTGGGGAGGAAAAGGGTTAGGTAGAGGTACAGAGGGCAGAGCTCTACCTATGTGACCTGGGACACCTTTCTTCCTCTGGGACTCAGTTTCCCTATGTGTATAGTAGTGAAAGCAGGGGGTGGCCCAGCTCAACGCTCTAAGCCCTTTTAAAACAATGCCCTTTGGCATCTGAGGGCTAGGAGTCTGCCACTAAAGACATCTTCTGATCTGAGGAGGTAAGGGTGGAAGAAGAGATCCAGCAGGGGACCAGGAGGAGCCTTGGCAGACCCTGGTAGGGAAGGAGGGCAGGAGGATGAAATTGAATATACAGACACTCAAAATATCTTGTTAAATGACCGAATGAAAGAGCAACAGGGATAACCTAGGAAGAAGGCAGGGCAGAAGGGCCGGTCTACACTGAAATGTGGGGTTTGGGTGGGGTCAGATGACCCATGTCCCTTCCATCACAAGACTCACGAGACCTTGTTCTGCCCCAGCTCTGCCATTGCTGTGTGAGCTCAAAAAGCTCATTTTGTTCCTCTGGGCCTTATTTTCCTCATGTAAAAATGGGAAAAATAATCCTTTCCTGATACCCTAGGGTCTTTGAGATGTTAAAAAAAAAAAAGTCTGGAAATCTGTAAAAGTGTGCTGAGTGACTTCGGGCAAATTGCTTTCCCTCTCTGCACCCATTCACCCCTGGGCCTTGTTTTCTCCTCCTGAAAAGTGACTGATCATCTTGGAGGGCCTTTCCATCTCTTCCAAGTCACCTCCTCTGAGAAGTGCTTTCTGATTCCCTCAAGCCTCAGTTAGGTGTCCCTCTAAATGCACCGCCTGCCCACTACCTGCTTGCCCATTGAATATCTCTCCCACTAGTCTGGGTGCCTCTGAGGTTACAGACTGTCTTACTACTCTGTCCCCCGCACCCAGTAAAGTGTCTAGCACATACTAAGTGCTCAATATGCTTTTCAATGAATCAACCATATTGATGATCAGAGCTCCCTTTACAGATGGGGAAACTGAGGCACAGAGAAATGACACCCCCACCCCACCCAGGTGCCATGGCAAAGGGAGGCTGCCACCCGAGACAGGCATCAGGCAAGTGGGGCCAGGCCACTCTTTAATAAAAGTGACTCAGCGGCTGGCGTGGGCTGCGGAATTTCTAAACATCCCCTCACATCCTGAGAGAGCAGGCGATGGGAGGGAGCAAGCAGAGGGAAAAGAGGAAGAAAAACAAGAAACTTGAGGGAAAAGAAAGAGAGAAGGGAAAAAAATCTGAAATTGAAAACAGACGCACGCGTCCACCCTCCCGGCCCCACCGCCCTCCTTCTCCCAGCTGGGCCAATCAGAGGCCGCCCTGCAGCCTTTCCCCCAAAGGGGTGGGGGGGCAGACCACAGTGCTCCTGGGGCTGCCAGCAGCCGGCAGTCCCTGCCCGCCTTATCTGGGACCTGAGGTCGCTCTGTGAGCAACTTGCATCCAGAGAAGAGGAGATCAAGACCAAGGGAGAGCCGGGCTCTTCAAACCAGCCGAGGCGGCAGCAGCCGTGCCCTGCCCGAACAGACAGCCAGACCCAGGGCGGCCCCTCCTGGCAGCTCTGCTCCTCCCGAAGGATGCTTTGGGAGTGAGGCAAAGCTGGGCCACTCCTCACGCCTGCGGCCGCCCGGCAGCAGCCGTGCCCTGCCCAAACAGACAGCCAGACCCAGGGCGGCCCCTCCTGGCAGCTCTGCTCCTCCCGAAGGATGCTTTGGGAGTGAGGCGAAGCTGGGCCACTCCTCACGCCTGCGGCCGCCTCCTTCACTCTTCTGAGTCTCCGCAACAGTCCTGCCTGCCCTTCTACCCAGCTGTTGCTCATTTCAGGTCCAGCAAAGTCTTTCTGATAACGGGGAGAGGGCAGTAAGGAGGACTTCCTGGAGGGGGTGACAGTCCAGAGCTTGAAACTGTGCCACACCAGAAGCCATTGGCAGCAAGGTAAGTGCTGGGAAAGGTGGGAGCCCCTGCCCTGTGCCCTGTCCCCTTGTTCCAGCCTGTGCCTCTTTGGATAGGTAAAAAAATGGAAAATATTTTTAACAAAACCAGATGGGAGGAGGCTGGGAAGCTGTGGTGATGTCAGGGCTGTAGGAGCCAGTTCTCTCCTTTACCCTGCTTTGGGGTGAGTGGACTCTGTCTCCTCAACCTTGCTGCACCCTGCCCTCATCACACAACCCCCAGAGGTTTCTAGGTGCCGAATGGGGGCCTCCAAAGCACAGCACAGTCTATGGGGGGTGGGGAGAGCTGGGAAAGGGAGGGAAGGGGAACTGGGAGATGGCAAATGGGATACACAGAAAGGGGACCTAGCAGGGGCCTGGGAACCTCAGAACCATAGCCCTTTACCTTGGCCCAAGCCTTGTTTCTAAGAATCATCTGGCTCTAGGCCAGTTAGCCGCCAGGCAACCTTTGGGGATTTAAATGGATCTGCAAATTTTCTAGATTCCTAAGATGTCCTTTCAAACCTCCAGGGGCTGGGAAAGTTCGAGAGTGAGGGGGCTGTGGCAATCCAGCCTAGTGGCTATGTGACCGGGGCTGGGGGGCTGGGACCCGGCTGTCAGATGTGGGGGCTCTTCTGTAAAGAGAGGGTCTGCCACTGGACCATTTCTTTCAGTCCCAGGCGGCTGCTCAGGTCTCCTTGCTGTCTCCCTTCTTCTGGACTCTGCCCCTTCTCCACTCCATCCTAAAACATTCATCTGGTCATACCGTCTCCTGTTTAGAATCCTTCTGTGGCTCCCTAGTGCCTGCAGAAAGCCCCAACTCCTAACAGCGGCTACCACTGACCAACACTTACTGCATGCCAGGACTGTGCTGAACGCTTGATGAGAATGAACTTGCGTAATGCTCACCAGCAACCCCAGGGGCAGGGACTGTTTTTACCTCCACTTTACACATGAGGAAACTGAGGCTCACAGCAGTTTAATAATTGTAGCCACATAGCTATTAAGTGGCAGTTTGGAGAGGTTGTATCCTCCCCCTACCCCATTGCTCCAAACTTGGGCCTTTTGTTCTTGCCTGTCAGATTCCAGAATTCCCAAAAGGAATTTGCACCATCCTGCCTGTAGGCATTTGCCCTCCCCATCCCCTCCCCCTGGAATGCCCTTCCTCATCACTTTTTTTCCAAGGACCCTCTCTACTCCACCTCTTCCAGGCAGCCTTCTGGCTCTTCCAGTCTTCCAAATGCTTGCCATACACTTCGTGCTGGAGCGTGTTGTTTGGTGCTCTTCTGTTTGTGTTCTGTTTGCACACTTGAGGTTATTTAGGCCCCAGGCTGACCCCTCTTGTGTTCAGCTCCCAGTGCCCAGCCCTGGGCAGGCAGTGAGGCTGAGAAAATGTGCTGGTGAAAGGGAGGAGGGACTCACTGAAGACCTTCTGTTCCCAAGTGTGAGACCTGACCCAGGCCTCCTGCCTTCCTTCAGGTGTCCTTCTGGGACATCATGTGGCTCCTCTAGACTGCATTTTTCTGTTACAAGCAGAGAGGAGCATCTCTGCTTGCCTCTGTGCACCTGAGTGCACAGAGGCCTCTAACAAGATGTACTGAACTCATGCAGTTCTCCCCTGTCTCCAAGCGGTAGGCGCTAAATCCATACCCTTGAGGGGCATAGAGTCATGGTAGTCTGCATCACTGAGCACCTACCCCATGCAGGCACAGAGCCTGGTACCTGACACACCTTGTAATCCTCATAAGCAAGTCTTTGAGACCAGTGTTGTTATTACCCCAATTCTGCAGATGAAGAAACTGAGGCTCAGAGAAGCTAAGTGACTTTCCCAGAGTCACACCATTAGTAGAGTTGGTACTGAGGCCTCCGTCTGCCTAAATCCAAAGGCTAAACCCCCACGCTACCCAGGGAGCTCCTGGTCAGAGGGGAAAGTCTCCATCCTCCTACAGAGCCTGCTTCTGGCTTCACCCCTTCCCCAGCAGGAAGTACAGCCTCAGGTCTGACGGCTCCAAGGTCCGCCCGGGCCCTGGCTTGGTTCTGAGAGAGGAAGGAGACCATCTGGTCAGCACCCTCCTTCCCTGCTTTCAGATAGTAGTTATCAGGCAGCCCTCCCTCCTCTGTGGGAAGAAGAGCTGGGACTTGTTATTGCCCGCAGATGTGGGGCAGGGGGCAGAAAGCACCATGGATTCAGAGTCACGAGACCTGTTATTTGCCCTGGTTCAACTCAAATCCACTGTGTGGCCAACCTAAGACCCCCATGTCCCTTCTCTGGGCTGCTTCCACATCTGGGAGGCAGTGGGCACCATGGACAAAGAACATGAGGCTTGGGCATCAGATGACCATGCATCAATCCAATTCAGCTTCTGGTAGACTGTGTGACCATGGGCAACTGCTTTACCTCTTTGGGCCTCAGTCTCTTCTGTGGGCAGCAGGGCAGTATGTGGGTTCCATGAGATAACAGCATAAGTAAGGCACTCAGCATGGTTCCTACACTTCACCCAGCAGGCCTAAGGCCACTGGCTAGGAGAGGGCCACTCTACCTGCCTCCTGCACAGGACCACATAGCTATGAAATTGGCCTGTAACCCACAAAGGGCTATGCCCATGGACACCACGTGTATTCTAAAGGCCCATGCCCATCCTTCTAGGTCAGGCTCTGAGACCAGCTGCCTTCCGGGCTGCAGGAGGGGACTCTGGGTGTTTTGCACAGGACAGGCTGCTGGGTGTGGTGGAGAGGGAGGAGGGAATGAGAGTGTCCCCAGACATCCCTGAAACACCCACCCATTTCTTGCACATGGTTCAGAACCCAGTGGGCAGTGGGTCCTAGGAATGGGATTTTTTTCACAGTTGTCCCAACATGGGGAGAGGGGAAGAAAGGGAAGTGGTGTTGGGGACCTCCCCAAGGTCAGAGCTTGTAGCGTCTCAGCTAAGAAGCAGAGTGAGCAGGATGATACAACAGGAGCCAGCCCTTTCTGAGCGCTCTCCATGTGCACTTTAACTGTGCTCTGCATCCATACCTTGCAGTTCACTGCTGTATTCCTCAGTGCTTAAACATGCCTGGCATTCCTGAAGTTCTTATTAAGTATTTGCTGGACTAATTTAATCATCGCAACAACCTTGAGGAGTAGCTATAAACTCTTCCCATTTTACAGATGAGGAAATGCCCAGAGAGATTAAGTCAGTTGCCCAAAGTCCCACAATCAGGAAGTGGTGGAGCTGGGATTTGCACCCGAGTATTTCTGACTTCAGAGCCCCATGATGAGAGCCTGTGTGGGCCCCCTGACACCCTTGGGGATCCAGCCTAAGCTCTGATAGTCAGACCCTAGAACCCTATGTGACTGTGGGCAAGTCGGTCCCTCTCTGGGCATCAGTTTTCCCATCAGTCAAACAAGGAGGTTGACCTAGATGATCTCTTAGCTCCCTTCCAGCCCTAAAACAATTCCAGGATTCCATACTGCACCAGCCCCCATTGGCAGCTGCACAAGCCCTGCTGTGTACTCAGGGATCATGCATATTTAACTTCACAATGAAAAGGATTTTTTCTTACCCTTTCTCTACACATTACAGAAAGAAGTCAGGATCGATGACCACTAATGGAAAACTTTAACCTCTAATAATAGGCAGGAACTTTCTAACAATTAGAGTGGCCTTTTAATGTGCTCAGTTTCTCGGCGAGCTCTGAGGGCACGTTCCCAAAGAGCCCACATGCCCATTTTTCTGGGATACTGAGCAAGGAGGGTTGAGCACGTAGACCTGTTAGGGGCTGTGTGTGGATGCTGGGACCCTTTAGGTCCCTTCCAGTGCTCTGATTTCAAGAGGAAGCAAGGCTTTGGCCCAGATGAATGATGGGGTCCAGAGGCGAGGGGAGGAATGGACCTATGGTAGGAGTGAATGTGGAATGTACACACTTGTTGCTTCCAGTGTAGAAGTCCACCTCACGTCCCTCCCAAGCCCTCAGGTCCAGAGCCACGGGAAACAGAGCTTCCTGAAGCCCCTGGCCCTGGCCCTAGGGCCCCCCAGATGCTTTCTGGGGAACCCCGCCCAAAAAATCAAAGTGCATTGCTTTAACTGCATTAATACTTTCTCTTCTCACTTCAGATCAGGGCTATTTGATGTCTCAGGTGCTCGAAACCTTTCATCTGCCAGAGATACCGACTTCTCCACCCTCTGATGGAGAGGGCTGTCCCATTGGGAGGGCCAGGGGATCAGAAAGTTTCTGAATGTCAGAGATGCAAAAACCTTTTGGGGCCACCTCGTTTGACTTACTTATTTTTGGAGGGAAAACTGAGGGCCAGAGAGGGGAGGGATGCACCTGTAGCCATCTTGATCACCAGTGATGTGCCGAGCCCTGGGCCCGGGCTTCCCTTTGTGCCGGCACAGGTACTGTATCTCCACCTCTCTCTAAAGGCCTGGAGGGGCTCAGCTCCACCTCTGCCCTCCAGGGCTCAGCCTGCAGGTCTCTCTGGGGTGAGGCCAAGGGCAGAGTGTGGGCTGAAGAGGAGCACAGCCATCCCGACCAGAGATGGAACTCCCCTGGGTAGTTTTCTGGACAACGGCCTGCAGGTCTCTCTGGGGTGAGGCCAAGGGCAGAGTGTGGGCTGAAGAGGAGCACAGCCACCCCGACCAGAGATGGAACTCCCCTGGGTAGTTTTCTGGACAACGGAGCCTTTGGTCACAGCCGTTCTCCATTGTGGCCATAGTTTCCTCTTATGTAAAGTGGGGGGAGGCCAAGGGGGAAACTCAGTGACCCCAGATGTCCATCCAGCTGTGCCCTTAGCCCATGAGAACCTTGTGGCTATTTTAGCACATCCTGTTGTTGCCCTGTTTACCTTCTCTTCCTGGGAAGTGGAACCCCAAGGGCTGTGACCTTGCCAGCTTCTCCACTCCTGAGGCTAAGCCAGGGCCTGGGGCACAGTTGGGGTGGAGGGGACAGGATTCAGCTTTGTAAATATGTCACAGAAGCCCTTGCCCCTCTCAACCACAGCACTGTGTCTCGGCTATGCAC